CATTCTCCCTTACCTTGTTGTCAGTGTGGATCACGACTTCATGAGGCCATGGTGTTTACAAGTGTGTCGGCGTTATAATGCAGATTTGGCATCATTGTTGCATGTCTAGGTTGGCTGACGCACAAGCCCTTGGGGCCACAAATGAGGAACAACAGAGAGAATTAATACAAAGTCAGAAGTCAAATCCATCCGACTTCTGATAGATACTTCTACTCCATTCTAGATAAGTTGGTCCTCAAATCATATGTAGCTGCATTTGGTTATTTTTTTAACCTATAAATAATGTTATCTAGAGTGTTCCAACTACAAGTAGAGGTTGAACCGTAAGGAGTGCTTTCTAGGGTCTTTTAGCTATAAGTAGAAGATGAGATGTGAAGGCTTCACAAAGCCTATAAATAGAGGTTCTCACCTCTAGTTTGTAACTCAGCATGTTTACCAACTACCTATAATAATACTTGGTGTTCTTATCTAAGATCTTGGAGTAGATCTTGTGTTCTAGGAGTTTTGGACTGAACTCCTGCCACACCAGCCAATATTCACCTCTAGAGCAATATCTCGTTGAAGTATAATTCCTTCAACACTAGTGATGTACACTTTGTAGCAGAGGAGTTGTTCCTCCACAACCTTGTGTTGCTTCAGCCACAGGCCAGCTCATCGACATCACCATGGACTCACCGACAAGTCCAGGTGGACCACACGAGCACATGCATGCGCAACCCAAACCAAGGCGACTTTACTCCGCTTTGAGCTCCCTATACATTTGAATGAGACTTGGCTGCTACCTCAAAGTGGAACCCTATGTCTAATTAGGTGTGTTGACAACGATCATGAAAAGATGAGGAAGGAATACCAAGTTCATGACCAGGTGCGAGGAGCCGAGGAAGAGGATGGAGCACCAAGTCCCAGGGGAAGTGATTCTGGACACCCCAGAGACCCGGGCTCAAGGACCCCGAAGCTTCGAGCATCAGGTGGTCACGCCTCTGGATACCAAAGAGACCGGGCCTCCAAACCCTGGGTGGTGTGCTCTCTGGATGCCTCGGAGCTCCGGGCCACTTAACCACGGGCCTCCAAGACTTGCCTGCGTGCATATGATTGGGAATGACCCATGTACCCTCACTTACCCCCTCTCCTCTTCCTCGGGACCTACATAAGTCAACCCTCTTTCAGTTTCTAGGGTTAGCAAAGTATACACTAAGAACTTGAGAGAGCTTTCCTCAATCTACCTTCCCCAAGGGGATCAGGGCCTCCACTTGTGGAGAAGACTCCATTAGAGTGATCAAAGACCTCCATTCGAGAAGATTCCTAAGGGAATTCAAGACCCCCTCTTTGGATTTGGGGGAAAACTCCCTCTCAAGACCTCCAGGCCTCCATCTCTCTTTGGGATTTGGGGATGAGCTATCTGACTTTTTTCTTTGCTTGTTTGTTGGATCTAAAAGGCATATCTTGTATTGACTTGTGATATGAGTATAGGTAGTGAACCTTAGCCTTGTGTGTGTTCCCTCTAATTTTCCCTTTGTTCTTCATGTTCATTCGTGAATCCACCTCCAATCGTGAAGATAGTGCCACCCTAATGGCTTGCCCTCAATCACCCGTGCTGATCTTGATATGCGGCGTGTATTGGCCCTTGTTGGCCAGACGACACATGTGATGGCCTCTATTCTCAAGCTGGTGCAGTAGTGGGTGGTGCTACGATTTTGCCAATATGTCTTCAAGGGATGTGATCAGTGCATGAATTGTGGTCATGGCTCTATGGAAGGTGGCATGAATTGTTGTCGTGGCTCTACAGGAGAAGGCCCTAGCAACCTTTTTCGGTGTCGACCCCCTCGCCCATTGTCTCATCCTTGATGGGGTTGTCAAAAGCCAAAAATCGCCTCCACCCGTCATGGGCTAGTCCTCCGCTTGGAAACAAAGATTTGGCTTGCCAGATCAGACACGGTGTCAACAACATCGCTGCATCCCCAGAGGCATTGTTTTTGGAGGTCTGGCCCTAGGTTAGAGCGCGACCCGGTGGCAAAGGCCTTGGCTCTAGCAGGCAAATCCAAGGCGCACCGGCAACCTACCAGTGCAAATACCTTGGGTGGCATGGGTAGTAGATGATAATATCTTGTGTCTTAGTTGCATGGGAACTCGATGGGTAGCGGTTGATGGTTGCAAACATAGGTGCGTGTGGCAGACAAGGATTGCGGTGATGTGTGGTGGTGGTGTTTCGGACTTTTTTTAAGAATTCACCACTTCATTTAAACTTCAATAACATCATCAACAACAACAAAGCCTTTCAGTCCCAAACAAGTTGGGGTAGGCTAGAGTTGAAAACCGTAAGATATCGAAACCAAGTCATGGTTCTGGCACCTGGATAACTAACTTCCACGCACCCCTTGTCCATGGCTAAATCTTTGGTGATATTCCAGCCCTTCATATCTCTCTTTACGAATTCCTCCCATGTCAAGTGTGGTCTACCCCCAATCTCTCGACATTATCAGCATGCCCCAACCGTCTGCCATGCACTGGCGCTTCTGGACGCCTGCACTGTATATGCCCGAACCATCGCAAGCGATGTTGGACAGGCTTCCCTTCAATCGATGCCAACCCAACTCTATGACGTATATCATCATTTCAGACCCGGTCCTTTCTTGTGTGGCCACATAACCATCCTCTGTTTTTGAGTCGTTCGACTAGTTGCGACTAGTCGACGACTAGTCGATGAGTCGCTGCTCTAGGTTTGACTCAAACTCTTGACTCGACTCCTGGCATGAGTCGAGCGACTCGAGCGACTAGTCTCGACTAGTCACGACTAGTCGCTCTTTCTGGGTCGAGCGACTCACTTAAATTGAGCCCAACTGTTATATGGGCCGGCCCATCTCCCCTGGAAACCTAGATCGATCATCCCCCACCCCCTCCCCCGATCGAACCCTCTCTAGCCGCCACCCCTGGTTGCCCCTGCTGCTGTTCTGCTCCTCCCCTCCTCTGTTCTGCTCCTCCCCTCCTATGGTGTGCTCCTCCCCTCCTCCCCTGCTATTGTGCTCCTCCCCTCCCCTGGTTGCTGTTCCTGCTGTTGTGCTCCTCCCCTCCTCCCCTGGTTGATGTGGCTGCTGGTGTGCCCCTCCCCTTGTTGCTGCTGCTGCTGTTGAGCACTTGTACTCCTCCCCTGGCTGCTGCTTAACTCACGTCGACTCGGCGCCATGTCGACTCATCGACCATGAGTCTAGACTAGTCTAGAGTCGGCCCCCCTGAGCGACTCGTCGACTCATCGACTCGAAAACATTGTAACCATCTAAACATGCGCATCTCTTGTAGATCTAGCTGTTGGACATGTCGTCTTTTAGTTAGCCAACATTCAGCACCATACAACATCACAAGTCGAATCGCCGTCCTATAGACCCGCCTTTTAGCTTCTGTGGCACTCTCTTATCATAGCAAACGCCAGAAGCTTGGCGTCACTTCGTCCATCCAACTTTTATTCGATGGCTCACATCTTCATCAATATCACCATCCTTCTAGGACCCGCCTTTTAGCTTTTGTGGCACTCTCTTATCATAGCAAACGCCAGAAGCTTGGCGTCACTTCGTCCATCCAACTTTTATTCGATGGCTCACATCTTCATCGGTATCACCATCCTTCTGCGTCATTGACCCCAAATATCGAAAGGTGTCCTTCTAAGGTACCAACTAGCTGTTGGACATGTCGTCTTTTAGTTAGCCAACATTCAGCACCATACAACATCACAAGTCGAATCGCCGTCCTATAGAACCCGCCTTTTAGCTTATGTGGCACTCTCTTATCATAGCAAACGCCGGAAGCTTGGCGTCACTTCGTCCATCCAGCTTTTATTCGATGGCTCACATCTTCATCGATATCACCATCCTTCTGCGTCATTGACCCCAAATATCGAAAGGTGTCCTAAGGTACCATCTGCCTATCAAGGCTAACTTCCTCCTCCTCGCGCCTAGTAGTACTGAAACCGCACCTCATGTACCCAGTTTTAGTTCTACTAAGCCTAAAACCTTTCAATTCTAAAGTTTGCCTCCACAGCTCTAACTTCCTATTAACCCCTGTCTGACTATTGTTGCCTAGCACGACATCATCCGCAAAGAGCATACACCATGGGATATCTCCTTGTGACCTCATCCATCACCAAAGCAAAAAGATAAGGCCTCAAAGTTGACCCTTGGTGGAGTGCTATTTTAACTGGAAAGTCAACAGTGTCGCCATCACTTGTTCGAACACTTTTCACAACATTATCGTATATGTCCTTGAGGCTGGTCGTAATGGTAGTATCATAAACGATATCATGCATGCCAACTAGACTTTTTTATTATGTGGCACACAATTAAATGAGGAAAGAGAGGATGTGGTATCATATCATGATACTGTATCATATTAAATGTTGTACTACTTTGTGTCATGGATGGGAATTAATAAGGCAACCTAAGATACTAACTTATGATTCTATGCATTACAGAAGTAGTATCATACACTAGTATCATATGCGTGATACTAGTATATGATACTCACCATTACGGGCAGCCTGGTGAGGGTAATGTACTGTGTTGGGACTTTGTGTTTCCCCAAGGCTATTGGTGACATAAAAACAATTAAATGCTGATAGCAATTACTGCAGTTGTTTGAAAATCAAGACAAGTAGCAAGAGCTTTTCAATGTCTTACGCTTACTCTGTAGTTACTAATCAAATGTAAATAATTTGTTGCAAGCTGGACATGGATACTGCAGGAACAAGAAATACAAACAAATAGGTGTATTTTGACATACCAAAACAGAACTTTCCAAGTACATATACGCATTATGCCATCAGGTAAGCAATAGAAAATTGGGGTAGTAGAATAATGAAACACACCCTTAACTGTACACATCTGGTGTTAACAGGAATCATGTTAAGATTAAACATACAACACAACAGCATCTTGATCATGATATTTATTGCAACTAAGAAACTTCTATGGTACACCATTTTACATACTCCGCCTAAAATAACCCCACATTACCTGGCTTGCACAATAGCATCTACAGTCATCTGCTCTTGGGTACTTAATTGACCAAATTCAGTGTTAACACTTCGTGTGACCTGTATAGTGATATTTCAGACACAGGCCAAATAATACCAACATAGGAAAAACATCATCGTGCACAAGAAGCCAATGATATAATAATTGAACTAAAAAATAAAAATAAGAAGGGTGATAGAAAAAAAGCCTACTTGTCCATCGGCGATTATTACTAAAACATGGTATTGGCCACCGCTTTGCTCAACAATGGTTGTGGCCATTTCAATTATTGGAGAAAATGATGTAGGACCTTCAAACATATAACAAATTTTATGCATACATTGACCATGATTGTACGCTTCAAAAAAAAACAATCAAAATTGAGCTTTCCTACCGGAAAGACGAAGATGAGGAACAATTTCTCTATATCGAGCCAAAGCCTCCTGAAACCCATAGCATGGTCTTTCGTCAGGATTGAAGCCAAATACATCTTGGTCATGAGTAGATGCTGCGTTTTCCAAATAAAACTGAACTATTAGTCTTGTGCAATTTCACTATATATTGGTAAATTAACAAAAGAAAAGTTTGAGCTTTACCATCTCCAAAACCATAGCACGGAATTAAGTTATCCTCATCAAAAGCTGACAGTGTTTGTCCAATGATGGAGATTGCCTGCTCGTAAGGATTGGGGGCATCACCAATATGATGCAGGCTCACACCATTGAATGACCTCTTTCCTGCATGCCGAATTGCATACATAGTCAAGCATCAAGAATGAATGTTTTGTCCAACGCATATATTCTATTCAACTACCTGTCCATCATTACTTCTCGTGAAATCAATTCCAATGATTAAATTGGAAGACTCGAGGCCAGCTTGCGCTAATGCTTCAATAACCTGCATACAGAACTCTAGTATTGAGCCAAGTGTCACAATTTGTTAAGTACTCCCTCCGTGAAGAAATATACTTCTTTAAAGAGGGAGTATATTTCCTTACAATTTGTTAAGTACTCCCCTCCGGACTCGGTTGTTTGGCGTTAGTCTACAAACAGTGTTTATTCGGTGGGCTCGGTTTGCAATTTTAAATTTCAAAAGAGGCGATGCATCAGTTTGTTGTGCGGCTCGTGCAAATTGTTCCCCACCTTGTTATCATCCGGGTGAAATTTTGCACTATCAGTTTCGCACCTTTTACACGCAAGCACCATGCAAGCTCCACAGCACTACATTAGCCCAGATACCACCTATGTCCAAGCCATCTACAATGGCTAATTCCATCCCTGTTATGGCTTCGAGCCCGATTTTGGAAGCAGTGTTGAACATTTGAGCATCACCAAATCCCATACACACATTGATACATACCTCATCCAAGGAGCGGTACTGGTCCACAATCTTGGAGTACTTCCTCTCCAGCTTGGACCGCTTACTGGCAACTGCCGGTGTCTTAATTGTCCGCGACACTGGTGGCGCTGAGACAGCATGAGCCAGAGAGGCTGGCACTGCTGCCACGGCCGAACGAGAGTAACTGCTGGAGGAAACCACCAAATCCTCAGCGGCCTGCGGAGCGCTCACCCGCCGCCGGTAGATTGAGGACGAGTGATATTCATCCGTCAACGGAGCGATGTGGGGGGACGGTGGTGGGTCCCACGGCTGTGACCATGGATCGTATGGGTCCGCGGGGCCGCCGCCGGCGCTGTTCCTCGCAGCCGGCGGCGATCTGGGTCGTGGTGCTGCTTCTGGTTGCGGCTCTTCCCGTGCCTCGACTGGCGGTGCAACCTGCAAGAGGCCCCCAACAACCTTGGTGGCTGTCTGCAGGATCAGGAAGAGCACCCACAGCAGGAACGTGACAATCTTGCCGGCCACAGCCTGAAACTCCAAGCAAATCGTAACGGCAACAGTCAAGATCGACGAATCGAAACAAAAATAAAAAATCGAAGCTTAAATGGCTCCGACGAACAACAAACAAATCAACAGGAACTTCCTGTTGAAGATTTGGAGAAGTGAATGAAGCTGGAGCATCTAGTGCGTACGAGGAAACCGCTCATGCCGACGAGGACGATGACGCGAGGGAGGCGAGCTCTGCCACTCCTCGGGGGAAGGGAGATGCGAGGTTGGGCGGATTGGATGGGCAATGGCTGATGAGCCGCTCATGCCGAGGAGGAGGTTACTTTGGTCAAGTCGATGCTGTTGTTGCGTCTACTCGAGTCAAGGGTCGATGTGTCGAGTGATGACGTTTAACGCCTGTTTGGAGTGGTTGCTGCTCGCTTCATCACGCCAACTCCGGGCATGTACGATGGTGGCATATGGATACATATGCCCCATGACAAAAAGTAATTTCAGGCATTTACATTTATTTTTTCTCCCCAATGCAAGCTACCACTAGTGGGCCTCATTAAGAAATAAAAAATAAAGATTCTAGTACACATGCATCTCTACTTTTTACTCCAATCTTTTCAGCTTTTGTCACCGGACCACACGTTTTCTCTTCAAGCACCCGCCTCCTGGAGAGGATCCCACTTCTCTATCCGAACCTACTTTACGTCATATCCGATCCTACATGGCATGCGAGGCATCACCTTGAGGCTATGCATTGTACATGCCCTCCTAAGGATACTAGTTGACCCGTTGTCCCAAATGACACAGAGACGTGCTAAAGATATGTTGTCGATGAAAATAGTTTCATGTTGCAAGAACCTTCAATTAAATCATGCTATTTTTTAAACATTGAAAGAACATGCGGTGCCCCCATGTTTGGTTTTGGTAATTGATGACAATCTCTATGGACTAATGATTTCCTTGAGTTGTATTTGAAGGGTTTGTCCATAGGCTTTTCTTGGAGTCCATGTGTTGGTTTCAAGGAGAGTTTGTGATGACCATCGTCCTTTTAAGGAATTATCCAAAGATCGGTCATGTGAGTGTTGAGCTTATTGCAAGCATGTCTTGAAGAATAAGATTGTGTGATCATTCATGTCCACCTTCAAGACATCATCCAAATGAAGAGAGTTGAAAAGAGTCAACACACAAAGCGCACAAGATGTACCGAGGGATCAAGTCCCATGGTATGGTAAGCATTGTCCATTACACTTTGTGTGCTAACCCATGGTCTTCGTGAGAGTTCTTTATAGGGTTAGATTGCGGTGTGCAAGTTCAAGTGATGTATCATGAAGAGATCAAGTGCTTGAAGCTTGCCGTCCATTGTGGTGACAATGGAGTTGTGAA